GGGGAGCTGGCTTGTTGAGCAAGCTCCGCCCGTTTCACCAGAGAGGCCTCCCCCGCCCCGATTCCCTCAGAGGTATTAAGGGTTATGTGGCAGGGTAACCCCACGCCTGGGCCCCGGTACCCCGCTCAGGCCTTCCTCGGGCAGTCTCAGCAGGGCGCTATGCGTCCTTGGGGGGTTTGCGCTCTGGACCCTCAGCCACAGAGGGTATTGGGGCCAGTGCCGCGGGGTCAGCCTGGGCTGTGGAAACAGCCTCCTCCAGCTCCCACGGGGCTCTCAGGCTGCCCGGAAAAGGGGGGCCTGAAACCCCTGTTTGGAGCGCCGCACCCCCCTCTGCTGTCTCTGGCAACGCTGCCGTTACCTTCCCTAGTCTGTCGGCTTCTCCTGCCTGCTCTGGCCTCCTCTCCCTCCCCTTCCTCTCCCGCTCTCTCCTTCCCTCCCTGCGAGCAGGGCTTCTTTTGCAAAGGCTCCCCCAGACTCAGGTGAGATCGCTGGCTCCCATGGGTTTACAGCCGCCCTGTCTCCCGTGCTCCTGACTGACCAGGGCTGTTGCTGCCTCAGAGCTGCCTTTCTCGCTGTCCTCCAGCCTGACCCTGTCGCAGGGGCTAAACGTTTCGGTGTACCCACCTGAGACACCCCAGTACAGATCAATGAAAGCGGCTTTTAGGTACGCTTGGCAGAGCTATGCTAGGGACTTTTGGAGTGATGCCATAAGCTTGTAGGCAAAAGGACACCTGGTCCAGGTGGAACCTCTCTGGTCTGGCACCCTCGGGCCCTGGCGGGTGCATCACAAGACAACTGTCCACGGGAGGTAGCATTGTCTAGCAGCATTCCCAGCACTTCCACTGCTTGCGGGGCTCTGAGAAGACATTGCGGGGTAAGTTAGAGCAGCACAGAGCACAGAGCCAGGACTGAGGGCTGCAAACAAACTTCATGGGGCTGCAGGAAACTTGGCCGCACCCATGAGATGTGGACATGGGTTCACTTTACAATCATGCTGGACCACGGAGTTTGCCAGACTAGAGAGGTTTAATCTGTACCCAAAAGGGGGCGGGGTCAATTCTGCCAGGAACACTGCAACGAGATTAGGACTCCAGCTTTCACTGTTTTAAGTTCCTTTCAACACCGGAGTGTGGTGGTTCTTGGCCAAAGCTACCAGACACCAATACATTAAATGATGTTTACTGGCTTTGCCCATCGATGGGTTTTTTCCTCCAGAAAGGATTATGCTGGTTAGTAGGTGACAAAAATGGCAACAAATATTTTGCAGCATATTCCCATGAACTGTTTTCACTGTGCACAGTCTGTTTGTCCAAGAGCTGCACAAGTGATTAGAATGGGGGGGGGGTTATGTGTGCACACTAGCAGCAATAGATGATCCCTCGTTTGTACTGCACCCCGGGTAGATATCGGAGGATGTGAATTCCTGATGCACTGCTTCTCCCGGTGTGAGCTTTGTGTGTACAGCACATCTCGTCTGCCTGGGAGTAGATTTGATCGTATAGCTGCCTATGCATGCAGCACTAGCCTTTGAAATGTATAGAAGCCAGCTTCTTAATAATTAGTGGCAGTTATGCAGAGGTCGGTATTGGTGTGAGATGACAATCCACAGCTTTGTACTGGGCTTCAAAGCGTTCGCTAAACCAGAATGGCAATTGTGGGCTACTATATATTTTAGTGAGTGAGTGAGCGTCTGAGACACAGCCTTAGAGCTAGAACCCCCAAATTCAGTAGGCAGCTTCCTCTTATCCTAACTTAAAGCAAGGTCTGGATTTGATTGTGCCAGGACAATGGGACATCCCACTGGTTCTCATCAAACGGAAAGGGAGCAGGGACCGTTATATTCCAGAATGACCACAGGGGAGCAGCAAGTGCACCAGGCCCGGGCCCCCCTACACACCTCCCAACCCCCTGCCCTGTCTCCTGCACCCCCATACCTTATCCTGAGCCCCTCCATACTTCCCAACCCCATGCCCCGTCTCCTGCACCCCCATACCTTATCCTGAGCCCCTCCATACCTCCCAACCCCATGCCCTAACTCCTGCACCCCCAAAACCCACAGCCCCATGCCCTGAAGGAGCCAAGCAAAGCAGGTCAATCCAGTACTACCACATAGATGTAATTTAGCACAAGTCAGGACACTTGTACAAAATGAAAGCAGTGGCAGCAATGCTAACAATCCACACAGGGAATTTTACCTTTGTGAGGAGTTGCAGTATTAACCCCTTAAAGCTTACATCTAAGAGGGAAAACTCCCCCACCCCCCAACTTTAAAAAAAAAAAAGTGGTGTTTGTCAAGAAAATTTTGTAAAAAAAATACAAAACTGTCAAGAGCTACCCGTGCAGGACAAGACTTGGGTGCTGCTGGCAGCAGAAGGCAGAAGTGAAGTGGATCGGCAGCTACGAGGTGAGTTTTTCAGTGTAGGTACCTGCTGCCAGTGCTCTAGCACGGGGGATGCTCTCAGAAGAACACAAGCAAGTGCAAGAGTTGTGTTGATCCCAGGGAAGAAAACAGGTGCTGAATGCGATCAGACAGCATCAGGTTCACCTGCTTCCGTATCTACCCACGTAGGCATGTCCAGCAATTGGTCCTGCTGCCGCATTTGCGTGAGAATCAACGTGTCAGACAAGCCACGCCATAACACAGAAACATTTCAGAGAGCAGCCAGCCTAAGGTAGCGTAACAGGGCGGCACTCGCCTCTCGCGAGAGCCTCCGTCTGGCCGAGTGCGGGTGCCTGTGCTCTGAAACGGAAGCCTCTTCGGCCAAGTCACACTCTGTGAAATGCTCAATACACCTTTAACAGGGCCCATCCCCGTGTATTCTTGGCTAGTGTCTCTCGTTCTGTTTCCCCACTTGGAGAGAGAAAGGTCCCTCCAGGGCTTCCCCTCCTGGAGACAGCTTCCTCGGCCGGCCGGCCAGCCAGCCACGCCTGCACTGCTAGAGGCCTGCCAGGGAATACCCACTGCTGAGCTCCGCAGCTTCCTTTGTAGGCCCTCCTGGCCCCTGATTGGCCAGTTCCTCCAGAGCCACTCTAGCCTCCTGGAGGAGCCTCTCAATGGTTTCTCGGGGCAGGGTGTGGTCGGATCACTCGTCACAGGAAGGCAGCAGTTCAAAGTGGAGACATGTCGCACAGAATCCCTGTGGAAGGCTTAACTGCTAAGGATGCAATTTATCCCTCATCCTGCCTTTCTTCCTACTGGAGTCAAATGAATCTTGGAGCAAAACCACCTAATAAAACACCACAACTATCCAGTCACCTCGCAGCATTGCGCTATCACCTGGTTGAAGAGACAGGCACTGCAAGAACGCTCATCTCCTGTCCAAGTTGCTACAAAGCCCTGCTTCCCTCCGACAAGCTAATCCAGGAGCAAATTACAAGAGAGATTAGAAAAAACACCAGGGCGCTATAATTTCATACCATGCCCAGCAAGGGAAAAGGCAAGTCTGCCATTGTTCTATGCTCTGCAATAACAGGAGCTGATGCAGTCCAAACTGCTAGCAATCTGACGTATCCAATCCTAAATGATCCAGATGTTTTCGGTGAATGAGCCAAAACCTCAGCGTTCTAACGGAAGCCAGTAGAGCGTGGTTGTTTCCAGAGGCCAGCTACTTTTGTGTCCCAACGGGTGCAGAAGTTTGGTCTTTTTTGGATAGATAATCAGGCGTATCATTCAGCCGGCAAAGCATACTATCCTTCTGAAGACGCTCCAAGTGACACTCTCACTTGCCGAGGGCACAATATGAAGATACATAAGAAAATAAGAACGGCCAAACGGGGTTAGACCAAAGGTCCATCTAGCCCAGTGTCCTGTCTGCCGACAGAGGCCAATGCCAGTGCCCCAGAGGGAGTGAACAGAACAAGAAATAATCAAGCGATCTCTTTCCTGCCATCCATTTCCACCCTCTGACAGAAGCTAGGGACACCATTCCTACCCATCCTGGCTCATAGCCATTGATAGACTTAACTAGATAAATTCATGGAAGTTCTCTTTTAAACCCTGTTCTAGTCCTAGCCTTCACAACCTCCTCAGGCAAGGAGTTCCACAGGTTGACTATGCGCTGTGTGAAGAACTTTTATTTGTTTTAAACCTGCTGCCCGTTAATTTCATTTGGTGGCCCCTAGTGCTTATGTTATGGGTACAAGTAAATAACTTTTCCTTATTCACTTTCTCCACACCACTCATGATTTTATCGACCTCTATCCTATCCCCCCTTAGTCTCCTCTTTTCCAAGCTGAAAAGTCCTAGTCTCTTTAATCGCTCCTCATATGGGACCCGTTCCAAACCCCTCAGCATTTTAGTTGCCTTTCTCCGAACATTTCCAATATATCTTTTTTGAGATAAAGAGATCACATCTATATGCAGTATTCCAGATGTGGACGTACCACGGATTTATATAAGGGAAGATATTCTCCGTCTTATTCTCTATCCCTTTTTTAATTATTCCTAACATCCTGGTTTGCTTTTTTGACTGCCACTGCACACTGCGTGGACGTCTTCAGAGAACGATCCACGATGACTCCAAGATCTCTTTCCTGATTAGCCACCATCATATTGTACACATAGTTGGGGTTGTTTTTTCCAAGATGCGTTACTTTTCATTTATCCACATTAAATTTCATTTGCCATTTTGTTGCCCAATCACTTAGTTTGGTGAGATCTTTTTGAAGCTCTTCACAGTCTGCTTTGGTCTTAGCTACCTTGAGCAGTATGGAAGAGTTCCAAAGTTTTCACACCGCTGCACATAAGACTTGCCACACAGCTACCCTGTGAGTTCGGGTGCCACTGACGATACCTTCCGAGATTCTGCTTTAATTCTGACAAGTGCTGCAAAACTGCAGTAAAAAGACTCCGGGGAGGTGTGTTCGTTCCAAACGGAACCGTGCCATTTCACGCTGGAAATCTCACCCATCAAGGAGAGAAGGTAAACATCAACACGGAGATCGTGAGGGTGCAGGGAACCAAGTGCTGGGCCAGCACTCTGGTCGCTCAAATGGGCTTAAAGGGGGTAAATTAGAATTAACTACAGAGTTAATTAGCCGATTAGGGCAGAAGGCGGAGGAAGGAAGTGTTGGGGAGAAAGGCAGACAGGGAAGTGGAACCAAAACCAGGACTCCTCTCTGGATGGGGAAATCTCCCCTTTCTTCTCCCCAGCAGAGGGCTAACGAGAAGCGGATGTTGTAAATGCTCTGGTTTATGGATTAGCGAGCTGGTGGGAAGAGCAATGTAAAGAAACGACTCCACATAGCCTGTGAAGACCGGGAAGACGGGTGAGGCCTCGCTCTGCGACAAGTGGCAATAAGACCTTCCATGCAACGCCTAGAGCGGCATTTCAAGGAACCGTCTGCAGATAGCCCTGAATCGGTGGTGAGATTGAAGCTCAACAACAGGACAAGCCACTGGCCATTCTCCGGCCACACGAGGCCAGTTCTGAAGAGCATGTCAACAGAGCATCTCGGCAAGCAAAGCTTCGGACGCCCTCACACACAGGAAAACCAGACTCAGAGTGGCCATTGCAAAAAGATGGAAAACCATGGATGATTAATTACTTCCTGTCTTCTTCAAGGGCCCATTGGCATTCGAGCATCGACAAGCCTTCGTGTGCACAACCCCACCAGTGCAGGTGCACAATCATAAAATCCTAGCACACTAGAACTGGAAGGGACCTCGAGAGGTCATTGAGTCCAGTCCCCTGCCCTCACAGCAGGACCAAGCACCATCTAGATCGTCCTTGACGGGTGTCTGTCCAACCTGCTCTTAATTATCTCCAGGGATGGAGATTCCACAACCTCCCCAGGCAACTTATTCCAGTGTTTAACCCCCCTGACAGGCAGGAAGTTTTTCCTAAGGTCCAACCTAAACCTCCCCTGCTGGGCTGTGTCTAGACTGGCCAGTTTTTCCGGAAAATCAGCCGCTTTTCCGGAAAAACTTGCCAGCTGTCTACACTGGCCGCTTGAATTTCCACAAAAGCACTGACTTCCTGCTGTAAGAAATCAGCGCTTCTTGCGGAAATACTATGCTGCTCCCGTTCGGGCAAAAGTCCCTTTTGCGCAAAACTTTTGCGCAAAAGGGCCAGTGTAGACAGCTCAGATTTGTTTTCTGCAAAAAAGCCCCGATCGCGAAAATGGCGATCGGGGCTTTTTTGCACAAAAGCGCATCTAGATCGGCACGGACGCTTTTCTGCAAAAAGTGCTTTTGTGGAAAAGCGTCCGGGCCAATCTAGACACTCTGTTCCGAAAATACTTTTAACAGAAAAGTTTTCCGTTAAAAGCATTTCCGGAAAATCATGCCAGTCTAGACACAGCCCTGCGGTTTAAGCCCATTGCTCCTTATCCTATCAGAGGCCAAGGGGAACAATTTGTCTCCCTCCTCCTTGTGACAACCTTTTAGATACTTGAAAACAGCCATCGTGTCCCCTCTCAGTCTTCTCTTTTCCAAACTAACCAAGCCCAATTCTTTCAGTCTTCCCTGCAGAGGTCATCACAGTGTCCGTAGTCAGAAGTGGGTACCTGCCCGGGCACTGAAGACCACAGAAACCCCACGCTCCCCACAGGGACCGTGAGGAGATGAACAACAGGATAACAATGCAGACGAGAAACCCCACCAGCGCCAAGGATACCTGTCCACCTTTCTGTATTAGATTCTATTTCACCCTTTCGCTTGTGGGGGTGGTGTCTTGAGGTCACCACAAAACACGATTTACATCTTGAAAGTGGTTAAAGTAAGAGAAGCAAATGCAAATATCACCATGTGGCCACTTGACCATGGGGGTGTTCGTTGTTTCTCTGGTATCCCGCCCCCTGCCAGCACCACCTCAGCAGACAGAATACGCCCTCCAATGCGGTACGAGGTGCACATGTGCAGAGAGGGCGCATTACTGCTACCGGATGGGGGGAGGGGTCTGCCACTGCCTACTTCCTTGCCTGGAAGATCTTGGCCCCGGCTCTGTTCAGCACCTCTGGCTGAGGAGGGGGCCACGTCACGTCACCTCTGCACGTTCAGGACTCAGGGGCTGCTCTGTGGCCCACCTCAACACACTTCCTGCTGCCCCCTAAGTCACGGGCAGGGTCAGGCTGCAATGCCAGCCCTGCAGGGACGCCCTGGCGCTAGGGTAGCTTCCTGGGGGCCAATTAGCTGGCTTTGCATCCCCTTGAAGAGGCACCTCAGAGCTGGCAGGTAAGCCATTGACCGCTAGGGATGTGCAAGGTTAACTGGTGGGGGGTGGAGCTCTGCCTGCTCTGGGCAGGCGGCTGCTCAGCCCCCTGGGTCCGGAGCAGGCCCTGTACGCCGTGGGGATGTAAGCGAGGAGTCGACGAGTGGACTCTCTGAGGAGCCTGTATCAGATAGTCGACCAGTGACTCAGCTACTCACCTTCCCCCCTGGCTGCGCCTATCAGGGAGAGGCAGCAAGGGGGCAGTGGGGAGCCTGCTTACAAGCCAGTTCCCCCCCGGCACCGTCTCTGTGCAGGAGGGCAGGGGCACAGCGGGGACCTGGCAGCACTGGCACCTTTGAAATGCAGTGAGAGCGGGGCCCTTGCTACATTTCAAAGGTGGAGCAACCAACCCGCCATCTTGGGCGCCTCTTGCCGGAAGCCTCAGAGCCTGCACCTGCACAGGGCCTGGCCCAGGCACGCTGGGACTAGCTACCCCTCCGCGCCCCTGCCTGCCCTCAGGGGAGAGCAGGGCTACGGGGCAGCCCGGGCTCCAGACGGGTTCACCAGAGCACTCCCTGGGCATCCCAGCTCCGGTCCCTCGCTGGCCTGCACTGCGTACCGAGCGCGGACACCAGCGTGGAGCAGGGCTCACACGTCCCCTCCTGCTGACCCAGCCCAGGCCTGCCTGCTGCCACCGAGCACCTAAACAGAGCCTGTGTGTCCTGCCCACCTGGCGGGAAGAGGCACCTCCACCGGCGGAGCCTGCCCCAGCTCCAGGCATGGTCCTGCCCCGAGATCTCAGCAGGGACCCAATGCTGTTCCTGGGCCCAGAGGCAATGATTTGGGTGGAACAGCCGCAGCTCAGGGCTTGCTGGGTTCCCTTACCTGGTATTCCACCACCTCCCCTGCTGCGCTGCTCTCCGGCTGCCCAGCTGCATGCTCAGGAGAGCCGTCCTGCTCCTCTGGGATGCTGCCGGCGGACGCGGTACTGCTGCTCCGGGAGGACTCCTTAGAATCCTCCTCGGTGAGGTCGATCAGGGCTCTTCGAGCACTGGGGGGAGGAAACAGGGCATGAGCGGCCGGCAGGAGGGGGGGAGCAGCAGGGAGGAGAACGAATGCACGAAAGGCCGGCAAGGCCGCTCCGAAGCGCCCCACGTCCCACCCTCCCTGCACACCGCACCCTCCCAACACCCTGAAGGGCCACGTTTCGTGGCTGAGAAGCAGAGAGCCAGACCCCCGAGCCGGGAGAGGCGCGTCTGGCCACGGCTCGGGAAGCCGCGCCACGGATCAGGCGGAATCCAGTTCTGCCCCTGCCCCAGCTGAGCTCCCTACCCGAACGGGAGCCAGGGACTCCTTGTCACTCCCCAGGCCATTCTCGTCTTTCCCTTTCCTCTCGTGGAGGCTCAGTCCTGCCTGGAAGATCACGCGGGCTGGAGGCTTCTGCCTCAGGCTGCTCCCCCAGCCGGCAGCGCCGCGCGGTCGCACCTGCAGCCAGAGAGAACAGGCCTGGGTCACACCCCTCCGGCTTTCTTCCCAGCACAGCCAGCCCAGAGAATACCCGGAATCCGCACGGGCGCGTGCCGCAAGGCCTGGCCAGGGCCACGCTGAGATCACTGGGCACTGGCAGGCAGGAGACGTGGCCTCTAGTCCTACCTCTACCACAAGCCTGCTGGGTGAGGCGGGGCGAAGCCCTGGGTCTCTCGGGGCCGGTTTGTCTCCTACCTCATTACCTCCAGCAAAGCTCTGCAGGCCGAACACCACCTCTCCCCGTGGGACCGTCCAGTGCAAAACACGAGGCCCTGCTCTTGACTGGAGCCAACAGGCACGACAGGAACAACGTGCACGGTCCCGGGGTATCTCCACGCCTCATGGCGCGGGCCTGGCGCCACCCGACGGGACAGCCCACCCACGCGAGACCCTTCATTCCGCCCTGAGACACCCGTGTTACCTGGCCCCGAGAGCCCCGCCCAGCTCCGAGGAGGGATGCCTGTTCCGAGGGACAACTACTGTTTTCGGTGACGGTGTTTCACTGGCTGCGTCTCCTCTTAATACCCCCACTCCTGGGCAGGGGGGGAACTAAAACCACGTTTCCAAGGCAACAAGACGGACCTGAGATTCGGCAGCTCTGGGGAATGCTCTGGACTCTGCCTTGCAGCCGGGCTGTGCTTGAGAGAAAGTTCTCTCTTGGCAGGCCCTTCTGAGGGCCCCCTGCGCGCACACATGCGCACTCTCCCCACCCCCCACCCCC